TCCCCAAGTCCAGAATCCCAGGCGGAACCGTAGGAATACCACTCGTCCAGGGCCGTAGAATCCTCACCTCTCCAGGTGGCGCTTGCCATAACGAGATGGAATGCCTGCGCTGACCTACGAAGAAACAACTCGTCATGGGAGGGTGTAGCACGGCATCAATGAAGCGTGGCGGATTTATTGTGGTCCTCCTCCGCCCCCTCGTCCCGCAGGCCTCTCGCTCTCCTCCTCCTCCTCCTCCTCCTCTTCCTCCTCCTCCTCCTCCTCCTCCTCCTCCTCCTCCTCCTCTTCCACCTGCTGGGCCAAGAGGCGCCCGCGAGATGGTACCCCAAAGAGTGAGTCGCCTCCTATGGATCGCATGGCAAAGGGGGAGGGGGAGGGGGAGGAGGACATGCAGGAACGAGCGAACGAACGATCACCGCTGTGGACACCGCCGAGACATGGCTAAGACCAGTTGGGTGAGACAGTGGCATCTATAATCAGGCCTGTCTGGATGACGTGCAATCCGAGACATGGCATAGAAGAAGTCATGAGAGGAGGGAGAAGAAGAAACTTGCTTGAATTCATAATGTCAAATTCCCCTCCTCTCTTTCATTCTCCCCCTCCCTCATCCCACTCATCCTTCCCATCCTTTACTCCCTCCACTTCCTTCCTGCTCTTCGTCATCATCCCCTACCACCTCCTCGTCATTAGCCCTACGAGTCCTACTCTCGTCCCTCCCCCGAAGACGTTGTTAGGGTGGCGAGCCCCCCCCTGCGCGCAGTGTTTGTCTTACACATGGGGTCGACACGCTGGCAGTGCCAGCCTGGATATTGCCGCGGAGTGCAAGCAGCGGATCATCGCCCCTGCGCAACAGCACGACCCTTCCATGCTAGAGAGAAGTCTGCATTGGAGCACAGGCACCAGAAGGTGATGCGCTTGGACTTCGCTCGAGCAGGAGGAGAAATGGAGAGCAAGCACTGGTCCACAGGCGCGCGGGCCCCACCAGGTGGTGCACTTGGACTTGGAGAGGGCAGGCTGCCCAGAAGTACCAAGGGATGCTCGCCACCCTGCTTGCGAAATGCCAGGGCCGGGGAGGATTTGCTACACCTCGGTGTGCAACAAAATAGGTGCGCAGCCGTGTCCGCTGCTAATGCGCCACCCTCCTGATTGAATGCAGTCGTGCGGTGGTGGCGGTCCTCTTCGAGGATGTCCCGCCCCGGAGGTGGCCTAATCCCTTGGGGCAATAGGATTCTGCCCCTCGTTCCCTGGCCCTCTCTCTCTCTCCATCTCCTCTCTCCTTCTCCCGTCCCGTCTCCCTCTCGCTCCTTCCTCCTTCCTCCCTCCCTCTTCTGGGGGGGCGGATCCCTGCTTCCACGTCGGGTCTGAGCCCCCCCTTGGGGGTGAGGCCGCATTGGGCGTGTGGCCCCCCCCCCCACCTGCTCGAGTGCAGCCGAATTTGCGGGTTCGCGGCTGCTTCTGGCTCCCTCTTGGCGGGTCGCCCCCACGCTGCGCTCTCCCCGCTGGCTGTCTTCAGCTTGCCCCTCACCGCCCCGGGCCCCACGCGTGTCGGGACTTCAATTTTGTTTGTCGCTGTCTTGACTCCGGGCCCTTCCTCTCGGCCGTCCCCCCCTCCCTCTTTGCTCGCCGGCCAATTCGCTAGTTCGTGCCACTACAGGGCAGTTTTTAATACATGGGATTTTTTACAGCATTGGAATTTTAAAACATGATCAATGCATGAATAAGTTTATGCATAAGCTCATCGTTGTTTTCAATACTAAACCCTTACATGTTTTAATACATGATCCGCACGCGGAGCATATATTAAAAACGGCACTGTATCTGGCGTCTCGCCGGAGCGGAGTTCGCCGCCTCGCCGCTGACGAAAAAAAAAGTCTCGACTCCGTGCGGAGGCACAACGCGCGCCGCCCTGCAGAGACAGGAGTACGCTCACTGCAAAACCCCGCGCCGCACACACACACACACACACACTTACTTACTTACTTACTTACTTACTTACTTACTTACTTACTTACTTACTTACTTACTTACACACATACCTCCCCTCCTCCTCCTCTATCATTTTTCTCTTCTAAGGAGCTCCTCCCCGTCTAACCACCACACGTTTCGCATGAGACCTCCTTCCTCTACACTTCTGACCCCGAAACTTGTGATATCCAACAGCTACACGGATGGAGATGGGGGTGTCTTCAAGATGTGGTTCTCGCCTTAGCGCAGCGCACACTGGTCCGAAGCACGTCGAACATCAAACTGTGACAGTCGGACCTAGGCCAAACTAACATCTTTCAAGAACATGAGACGCTCTGGGGGCAAAACATGTAAAGGATCCGAGGGTACCCTCCCCCAGGATAGGTAAGAACATCCAACAAACACGAATAATCTTAGGGCATCCTCCCCAAACCGACCTCGATCTTATACCTCGGCCCGACTGTATGCAGATGGAGGCTTCGTTTTCAAGGATTGGTTCTCGTCTGATCACCGCGCACACTCGTCTTTAAAACTTCCAGCCGTTACACGGTTGGAGATGGGGTGAATTTCAAGATGTGGATATCGCCTCAACGCCGCGCATATTCGTCCCAATAACTTCCAACCGTTAGGCGCATGGAGGAGGGGGGCGTTCAAAATGTGGCTCTCGCCCCAAAGATGTGCTCATTCGTTCGTAAGAAGCTCACCAGTTACACAGATTGAGGTCGGCTTCTTTTCGAAAGGATCTCTCGCCAGAACACCGCGCAAATTCGCCTTACACGACAAACTACACGACGGATCCTACAGATACACGGATGGAGGGCGGTTCCTTTTCAACATGTGGCTCTTGCCTCAGCGCCGCGCACATTCGTATGAAAAGCTTCCGACAGTCAAACTGATAAAGGGGACGGTGTTCAAAATGCGGCCTCGCCTCAGCGCGGCGCAGATTCGCCTCAGAAGCTTCCAGCTGTTGCACGGATTCAACCTGGAACATTCGCTTAATCTTCATGCTCCGTTACCGAACACTGTCAAGCACCTACACAGATGGATGGCGGCTCCTTTTCAAGTCGGGGGACTCGCGAGAGACCTCGTAAAATGGTACGGCCATGCTGTAACCGCGTCGCCGTCCTAATAGCTAGAAGCATGGATGCCAGCTCCTTTTCAAACAGGGTCCTCGTCCGAATTTCAAGACCATGGGGCAGCTCCTGAGAAGATACTAACACAAGGGCGTCTGGGGAGGAGAAGATGGGCCGGGTGGGCATTGCAGCATCGTTGATGCACAATGTGGTGACGCTGGTCCTCCTCCTCCTCCTTCTCGTCCTACTGTTTAGCATTAAGCAAAAAATCAATCGTGAGATTGAAGCGTTCCTCGGACCAAAAAGACATGACCACGACTTCGATCGAAGCGGCAACGAATCATCGCAGCAGATACAGCGGACAAGGACAAGCGATGACTACGGGCGAAAGCTGAAAGGCCCGCGAGGGCATAGAGTAACTGAGCTGGCTGCCTGTGCGACGCAAGCTTGCCGTCGCTCGGACGTCCATTTCCCGTGCATGTTCCGGTTCCGTGGGTGTTTTTTTTTTTGCTCGATGGTCCAGGATGGTCCTCGATGGTTTTCGCCGAGAAAAAACACACACGTCCGAGCGATGCCAAGCAAGGAGGAACCTTAACCACAACCCTCGTCAAAATTAACCTCAAAAATGTCTGACGTGTCGGAACTGCTTGACGGAAGATTTGCGGCCGAGTATCGATGAGTGCGGGGTACTTGCATGCGCCGCCCCTCCAATGCCGGTCGACGTCAAACTTTCGAGTCAACTTCGGTCAGACTATCTTTGCCCTCGCCCCGACATTGAAGGGGCGGCGTGTCGACATTGAGGGGCGCGCCGAAATCGAAATGACGTGCAGGCAACTGTTGAGGCTAATTTTGACGAGGGTACCAGATTACCCCCCGTCCTCCTCCTCCGGGCCCGCTCTGCGCCTCTCTCCCGCCGCCCGCCGGGCGCGGAGCGCCTTGCCGTCCTTGCCCTTGCCCTTCCCCTTGGCCGCCCGCTCGGCCCAGTACTTCTGGCCGGCGGCGGAGAAGTCCACGGGCTTGGAGATGCGCTGCAGAGGGAACCTCACGGCGGGCAGGAGCCCGTCCGTCTCTCCTCCTCTATCGTCTCTCCTCTCGGTCTCGACGGTCCCTCCGCTCCGCTCTCTCCTCGTGGGGGCCTCTCCAGCGGCCTCTCGTGCGGGCCTCTGCCCGAAGCGCAGTCTACATATCTTTGGGGCGTCTCCCGCTCGCACTTCTGCCCCAGAGACCGTCCGATACTCTGAGCGGCGGCGGTTGCGAGCATCGCTTCATGGGCATGTGACCGTCCTCGATGGTGTGCCCCCTTTCGGGCCTGGGCGTCCCGATGCGCACCACGCGACCCGCGGCGTGCGGACACGGAGCTCAACACGACGTTGGAAACGCAGGTCTGGCGGGACACGTTCGCCAAAACGTGGTCCACGTGCTGGACCAACACGCCACGTATTTCACCCAGACGTCTGGAACACGCTGCAGTCAACCCGCATAGCAAGGATGCGCGATAAGGATGCAAAGGGCCTTGGGAGCCCAAGCCTCTCGACCGCGGCGCGGCCAACGGAAGCGGCCGAGGATGGACCGAGGAGGCAGGGATGCAGGGGGGTACCCCTGGGAAGGTTGCCCGTCCTCACTGTGCGGGCTGACTCTACGTCGCGCGGTGCAACACGGGCGCATCAGGGCAGCTGAGCTTCGGACATCTCGATCGCAACCCCAGGTCTCTGGGGCGCGTCTGGGGCTGAATCTGGAGCGACTCTGAAGGGACACACAAATAAATACACACAAATAAAATTATTCCCAATGATTTCCCATATTTTTGAGGTTTTTGTCTTCCCCCCCACTTCCCATATTTTCCTGCATTTTTCTGGGAATCGACGATTCATTGTGTCTGTGTGTTTTTTCCCCTCCTGAGACTTGGCGGGCCTCGGAACGCCCGGGTCGGCGGCGCGGCCGGGGCGCAGCCGCCCTCCTTCCGCCCAGGAGGCTCCCGCTGCACACCTCGCGCGCGCGGCTCCCGGCAGCGCAGAGACCGGATACGGTTTTGGGCTCGGATTTCTGACCAGCCTGGAACATATCCCTATCCCTATGCTGGGCATCTCCTCATCACGATGCCAATCTTAGGGATTCCCTTCTTTCTTGAGGGCGCATCCCCAAGATTGTCATCGCCTTTTGGCGTGTCAATCTTAGGGATAGGGATAAGTTCGAGGCTGGTGAATTTGGTATGCCGCACCTCGCTGAGCAGCGACGCGGTCAGTGGCCACTGCTCGCGTTTCTCGCCACCTCCAAGCCGAGCTCCGTAGCTGATGACGCCAGGCTCCAACTTCGCCTCCCGCACAACTCCGGGCAACGACACGGCCTGTTGCCACTGCTTGCGCCTGCCGGGTGCGCTGATCCCAGCGGTGCAACGGATGGCCCTTGAATCCATTGTCGTATCCCGTACATCGCTGAACAGCGACAGCGCCCGCTGCCACGGCTCGCCTTTGCCACACGCGCTGATTCCAGCGGTGTAGCTGGCTGGCGAGCACCAGTAATCTCCTCCACATGAATCTCCTGAGGCTGAGTCTTCACAAGCTTGGTAAGTTCTGCGTCGGCAAAGGGACGCTTCATGCCACGCAGACCCGCCAACAGGGCTCGAGGTAACGCGAGTAGTTCAACTACAACTTCGAATACCAACTAAATAAGCACCTGAAAACAACGGAAGCCTCTGCAAATACTGATATCAAGAACGTGGCTGCCAAAATTCAGCTCCCGTCCCACTTTGGACGGGTCACTGAGAACCAGTACCCCTGGCTCAGAGTGCGCTTTCCCAAACTCGGACAACAAAGACAGCGCATGCTGCCACTGTCTCCCTCCCTCGCACGCGCTGATTCCAGCGATGTAGCGGACAGTGTTGGGCTTCACCTTCGCCTTACGCACCTGGCTAAGCAGCGACAGAGCCCGCTGCCACTACGCGCCCTTCTCGCGCGCGCTGACCCCAGCACTGCAACTGCTGCGGGGAGAACCCGTGGACCACGTCCACGGAAGCCACAGCGACAAGGGCCCTTGATATGCTGCCAGTGCCATCACTCTGAAGCAGAACGGTGCGGCACCATCCAGCGGCCACCTGCATAACCATGCACCCACCTCCGATCATGAACTTCGCACTCTCGAGTCGTACTCTCCCTGGCGATCATGAAGTTCGGCCTCGCCGCCCCTCTACTCCGACCAACTCTGTCTTGAGTAGATGGGGTCGGAGTGTCGCGCCGCCTTGCCGATACATCGGCGATGTATCGGCGATGCATCGGTGATGCACCGGCGATGCATCGGCGACGTCGGCGATGCATCGGCGCCGTCGACGTGAGGCAAAACGGGCTCCACATCGAGCTGCATCACCGATGCATCGGTGATGCGGCTCGATCCTCCGACCCCATCTGCTCCGACCCCATCTTGGAGGCCGAGACAGTCAGATGTGAAGGAGAGGGGGGATGCTTCACTATCCGGGGTATGCGGTTAAAGCTCGCGTTAGGTCGGGCGTGCCCTCCTACGGGCGGATTCTGGACGAAAAATTAAAACATTGCCAACATATGCCAAACAACCTGTGCTCAGACATGCGAACAAAATCGTCCCAACACTACTTCTGGACCATGTTTTTCAGCATTCCCCCTGTAGGGGGACACGCCCGACTGACGAGCTCGCGCCGTCCGACGGCGCACCGGCCGCGGATCGAGAATCGAGGATCGAGGTTTTCAAGGATCGAGGATCGAGGATCAAAAATCGAGGACCGGGGTTTTCGACTCGAGCTCCAAGCCAGAACCTCTTCAGGACGTGTTCTGGTGGCCGATGCTCGGAGGAGAAGGGAGGAGGGAGGTAGGGAAAAGAGCAGGAAGACGAGGGAGGATGAGAGGGGAGACGGGGATGAGGTAGGGAGGGAGGATGAGGGATGAGGGAGGTAGGGAAAGATGATCGGGAAAGGAAAATGGAGGTAGGGGGGAATATGAGGAGTAATAGGAACAGGATGACGATGAGAACCCTGAGGAGAAGCAACAGATCGCTCCCCCTTGCCAAACTACTCGCTAAAAAGAAAGGTCGCCTGTCAACCGGAACCTCTGGCGAATGGCCAGAGCTGGTTTGCACTCGTGCGATTCCCGAGGCCTGGTCGTTGATCGAACTCGTCACAACGACGCCTAGCACAAATGAACTAAATCCCACCAGCCCTTTAGGGCATAAGTGGTTTAGCGCGATTCCTCTTCCAATACCCCTTCGTGCCCTTCGGGGAAGGGTTTACCCTTCCCCTCCCCACTCCCCCTGGGTCTGGGCGGGGCCTTTCGCGAGGTGTCAGAAGGTATTTGTTTTGCCTCCGCGAGAAAACCAAAATCATTGATATGACCACGGTTTTGGCCACATTGCCACATTTTGGCCTCCTGGGGGGGGGGCGTAATTTAGTACGGCCCCTCCTGTGGCCGATCTCCTCGAAGATAGCCCCAAGATGGCCCCCGAGGCTCCCAAGGGTGCCCCGAGATGGCTCCAAGAGGTGCCCAGGAGGCCCAAAGACGGCCACCAAGAGCCCCCAAGATGCCCCCAACAGGCTTCCCAGAGACTCCCAAGATGCCCCAAGAGGCCCCCTAGAGGCACTCAAGACGCCACGAGAGGCCACCGCGACTGTGAAGAGGCCCCCAAAAGGCCCCCGAGGAGACTCCGAGAGTCATCAAGGAGGCCTCTGGCCTATCTTCTCGCCCTCCTCCTCATCCGCCTATATCTGTATATGAATATAGTTATAAATGTATCCTCCCTCCTCCATCCTCCCCCTCCCCCTCTCCGTCCTCCTCCCCCTCCTCCTCCTCCTCCTCCTCCTGCTCCTGCTCCTGCTCCTCTTCCGATTCTTCCTCCATCCATCCCCTCTTGGGGTATGACGTTTTACCCAGCAAATTATTCCACTGCATGATGCTCCACATCCTTGATCGGGGGAACTCGTCTCTGGGCATCGCTTCTGGATAGGATGGTGGGGATACGCGAAGCGTCTAAACTAATGATAAAGGCAAGATTGACCTCTTGGAAGATTTCTGTTGCGTCCGTAGGCTTCCTGCGGCGGCCCTGCTGCCATCATTATGTTTCCGCTGGCCTTCCGCCTCCTTGGGCCGAGAAACAGAAAGGCGACGTCTCGACTCCTCGAAGATGATACCCTTTCTGGAAAAGCCCTACTGAGGCATGTTGCATCTTGGCAGCCAGCTTACTAAACACGTCCAGGGACACTGGGCCTGGCTGATAAACATTGGCGTTGTGTACCTCCAGATTTCTGCTCTCGGCCCAGGAAGAATAGACAACTGCATAAACATAGAATGTTGGCGCTCCGCGCGGACTTCTTGGATCCGCGCTGGGCCCCCCGCCGGCGGCGCCTCCAGCGCCGCCCCTGGGGCGCTCCGCGCGCATCCAAGAAATCCACTCGGAGCGCCAAGAGTTTATGCTCATGCCGTTGTGTGTTCCTCTTTTACCTCTCCTCCTGCTCTCCGTCCGACGACGAGGCTCCCCGGTGTCGTGTCCTCACGGCAGAGATCAGGAGGGGAACAAACACACAGACACAATGCATCGGCGACTCCCAGGAGAATATGGGATCATATGGGAAGCGATTGGGAAATTGAAAGCCCAGAAAAGATGGGAACTGTGGGGAATCCAGGGAATCCTGGGGAACCCTGGCATCCTGGTTCGGGGGCGCACAAGCATGGATTAGCGATCCATGGATCTGGCGCGCGGTCGCCAAATCCATGCATCGGGGCATGTGTCCTCCCCAAAATGCGGCCTGTGCCGCCACCTTCGGCGGCGGAAATCCGCGACTTCCCATGGAAACGGGACCCGTCGCTAATCGTAGGTCGGACCTGTCCCCCTACAGGGGGATTTAGGACGAACAATAAAACATACCCCAACAATGCTCCAAAATTGTCACAAAATGCTCCAAAAATGGTCCCCATATTATGTTTTAACCTACTTTTGAACATTCCCCCTGTAGAGGGACAGGCCCGACATAACGCCAATCCGCGCCCCCCTCGATCCGTGTCTGCGATCGCCGGGCTCTGGGTGTTCCCTTCGGCCCCCGCCCCCGTACAACGCACCCCCGCCCCCTTTCCACGAGCTGCCGC